TATATATATTATAACCTTTTTCTGATGTTTTGTATTCTAACCGATCTTTTCCGTAAAACTTTGTTAGCTATTGTTTTGGAATGTCGACACTGATTTAGTTAAAAATGTCTCTTCTTCACACTTACGAATGTACATATTCACTTGACGAGTTGGCATCAATTTCTATTTAATATCATTTTTCTGTGTATGTCTATGTATGTGCGTGTGTGTGTGTCAGTGTGTGTGGGATATTAAACAACTCAATTTAATGTACTCCGGTGTGAATAAATACAAATTTAACGGACCTTATCAGTCGGGTTTTGGGGCGGTCCGAATTATGAAAAACAATACTCGTAAATATTGTAAATTATTACCTTTCATTTTCCTTTTGTAATAATCAATATTTTTAATTATGCCGAAAATAAATCTTATTTATGAGAATGCGCGACTCTATGATTTTAGACAAGATTTTGGGTGACCGCCAATAAAAGTTTAAGAAACAATAAACTGCATTGGCAAAAAGGTGAGTAAATATTAGTTATTCTTAAACATTTAATAACTTTTATATTTCCACTACTGTAAGGCGTAGCTGGATTTATTATCAGAGCAGTGATCTTATCAACATACGTGGCACATAATACACTGTATGGATGACAGATTCATAGGAAAAACTTAAAGAACTATAAGGAAAGTAGTCAAAGAAAGAAGAAATAGCTAATCGCTCATCTGACAAAATGATGCTGCTACAACGTTACATAGAGATTGAATAAAAAATTTTTGTAGACTGGCTACAATATTCCTGTAACGCTAACTTGTAACGTTGCAGATACGTGGTCTTGTGACATTCTAGGCGCTCCGCATAAAATTGATAATAAATTCCTGAAGAATTATCGATTATCATATTATCAATAAAATTAACAATAATTTCCAGAAGGTGAATTCATCATCTTAATTACTGATTCTCAATTTTTCAAAATACGTTAATAATTTTTATACTTTCTATGCATCTTGTTAATTAAATAAAAAACATATATATATATTCACGTTTTATTTAACCAATACGTATTTTTTCAGCTAAAACACTTTGCAAGTTAACGTTCTGTATCAATGAAACACGAATGGTTGGTGGCTAAAGAAAGACTGCCCCATTAGCGAATTACGTTTCGGGAATATCAAAATCAAACGTGTTCAAAAATTTAATTTAGTTTAGTAACAGACTCTGATATATAGGAATAAAGTGTCGCTGCCGACACTTGAGTTTGAACATAGATCGACAGTGAGCAAACATAGGCGATCCCATTATTGAATTAAGTAGACCAAGTGACCATAGGGGAAACGTATATATAGGAAGTTACATGAGTTCTAAAGCACAACACTTCTGTTCTATCCTCTATTACCATACGAACCGCTATTCTCTACACTATTTCTGTATTCAGGTCACTATACGGATTACTGTTCGATCGAGTATTATCGAGCAAGTACTATTAAAGTGTTATTCGAAGGCGTCTGATACCAGTATTGTTCAATGGCATTACTATAGTTGTATCTGCGATTACAAAGTCTCTACTACAACGAGCATTACGAAAGTAACAACGAGTATACGTTGACATTATAAAAATGGCAACGAGTGTTCACTGACAACACAAAACAGATGAAATCCAAAGGCACTTTAGGAATAGCAAACGATGCCTTTCAGAAACGAAGAAAAACTATTAATAAATAGGAAAATTTAAAAACGAAGAAAAGAGTCCTGAACTGTTATGTCATATATAATCACCTATATAGCACTGAATATGGAATAACTTCTTCACGGATGTAAAAGAGACTTGAAGAAGTCAAAGCATCGAAGTAATGAAGAAGTTTTAAAGAAAATAGGGAGTACAAAGTAACTGCTATTAATAATTATATTGATTATAACCAAAAAGAGTATAAATTAGGTTTGGTTTGGTTTATTTTGTTTTACGGCATATCAACCTCAATGGGTTATTTAATGCCGACAACATTTTTTTTTATTGCTGGTGATATTTTGTTTCGTCAAAAATCTATTCCTGGTAATATTTTTTCTTCAAAATTGTATTGCAGGTAATTTTTTTTCGGAAAACGTATAGTAATAGTTAACTATTTGCCCATAACTGGGACCCTAGCAGGTGCTACTACCCTGGGTCAAGGTGGACCTGGGAACACCAGCAATTAAGAGGTGGTTCCACGCTCCTCAAAACCTCCTGATCAGAGGCCTTGCTGCTGAATGTAGTTTATCGTCTTACCCAGGACGTATAAATTAGGTAGGAATATATAATGATTAATTGATTGATTCGTTTTCTACGGCTTATCAACTCTTTGTAGGTTATTTAAAGCCAGAAAATTTTTTTTTAGATTGTCAGATTTTTTTTGGGGGGGATAATAATGATTTAGTGATAAGAGTTTTACTAATTAACCCATAGCTGAGGAGAGAAGTGGTAGATTCAGCTCTCCGATTAATCATTCAAAGCTATTATCCATTACATCACACGCATATCCAAACTTACAGCACCTGCTATTCCCAAGCGGTCACCCATCTAGGTACTGACCAGGATCGACATTGTTTAACCGAGGTGACCGTACGAAGCCCGGTGTTTCAAACCTGGTATATTATGAGGAAAGACGGTTTGGATAATTTAATACTCACAATTAAGATAAGTGGGTAGTGATAGCGAATAAACTAGTTGATGAGTAGATCGATAGCAGTAATATATCATACTTATTATAAAACCCAGGTTGTGTGTGTGTGTGTGTGTGTGTGTGTGTGTGTGTGTGTGTTGTGTGTGTGTGTGTGTGTGTGTGTGTGTGTACGTTTATATATTTGGATTTCTACATTTTTCAACCGATTTCAACAAAACTTCACAGAACTACGTAAAATTACCTTGCGGTGGTTCTGACAGCACCCAAAATTGGAAAAACACAATTGTTTTTGCACGGAATCAATTTGAAAACACGATTAAGAGGAATCACTGTCGCCATAATGAAAGGAGGACAACTCATATCGAGTTATACTTATTATAAAACCCAGGTTGTTTGTTTGTTTGTGTGTGTGTGTGTGTGTGTGTGTGTGTGTGTGTGTGTGTGTGTGTCCGTTTATATATGGAATCGGATTTCCTACATTTTTCAACCGATTTCAACAAAACTTCACTTTCTTTTTTGGCAGGTAGTGTTTCTTATTGTCTTGCACACTTTTTTCTTTATTTTTACATTCAGAATGCTTTAAAAATTCCATTTACAAGACAATTGTTTGTAATAAAATTCTATTCAATCGGTAGACTCATAACGATTGAAAACAATGTTTTTGTTTGAGTTTGTGTTTGACCAATTCGTAAAAAAAAAAAAAAAAACTAATTAAAACATGCGTGTGCGTCAACCTTAAACAATAATCTTTGTCAATTTTATTTTTCAGTCTTTATTATGGTCGATATTTGATCTATCTCTTACTGTTACATCCCAGGGCAACGCTGGGAAATTCTGCTAGTATCAAATAGACAAAGAGCGTCGATAAAGAGGTAAGAGTTAGTGTAACAATATAGGAAGTCATGGAGAATCATGAGCGTCTATGTTTTGAAAGTACATGAAAGAGGAAGAGATATTTTATTTTCAAAGATTTTTACATTGAAAATGGTTTTAAAATGTCCACCTTGATTATCTTTAAATTTAACATACCTTTTCTATTAACAGATACAGCTTCATTAAATAGCTGGATAACAGTACGTAGATAAATATTTCAACCCTATATATTGTATGTAGATATACTCTTATCATAAAATCTAATATGCTGGTCTACACCTATCATAAAAGCTTAGCTGTGGCTATAACCGAGCCATAAACGTCTTGTTTAAGCATTATCATCTTTCACATACTTGATATCCGGTAACAGAATCATTATTGTCTTTCTTATTCTTCAGTCGTATGCAGTCAAAATCAACAAAGCATATGGGACGCCCAGCAGATAACTTCCGACCTTCTCAGTGGAATAGAGCTTATCTATAGTCTGCAAGTATTATATAATCTTCTTTAGATCGTTCTTGTTTTTTTTATTTAATACCTCCTGCAGACAAAGGCCACGTAACAGCTGGGATGGATAAGACAGCTTATTTAAATAACCATCAATGCTAGGTGAAAACAATAAATAGCACGTACTAAAAAGAAGGCTCCAACCGGCGAGTAGGCAACGAAGAGTCACCAAGCGTGGTATCAGTTTTATAGTAAAGAGTCAAACGTCATAGAAAGCAGCCACCGATGTCTCAAAATGAATCCACACAAATCTGTTATCATTTGCCGAACTCGGGCGATGGCATTCATCAAACTAGATATAGTTATGCTGCTATCATTGACGGATAAAACATATGAGCAACCAGGAAGTTTTAAGGAAACCGAAAAATGACATTCAATCAGAAAAATCCACTTGTGTCTTAGTGGCTTTACTACCTTGCTTGGTGTTAATTCGATTCAAAAAAAAAAAAAAAAGAAAAGAAGGATAGTTGATTCACTGTATCGAGCTAGAAAATTCTTCTCCCTAGAATCTATCTAACATATTTATATGACTACCATTCATCCTTGCTTTGAATATTACTGCCACATCTCTCTCTCTCTCTCTCCCTCTCTCTCTCTCTCTATATATATATATATATATCAATTTACATTTATCTTTCCAAATCTCTCCCTTTCCTTCTCCCTCTCTCCTCTCTCTCTCTCTCTCTCTCTATATATATATATATATATATATATATATATATATATAAAATGAACATTGAAGTCAACACTGAGAGGCAATAGTCTGTTTCATGCTAAACGCAATCATCAGGCCACATATATTGAATTTTTTCTCGACTATCTATATATATGGGTCAGTAGTGCATTGTGGGTAGTCTATTCTAACGGTTATTTTGACGGGTACTGTTTGTTAATTTGTTTATTATTTACTTTATTTATTTATTTATTTATTTAGATTAATTTATTTTACTTGTTTTTTCTTATTTATTTTGGTTTTATATATTTTTATATATTCTTTTCGCTTTTCAATTTTTAAGTAACGCAGTAAACAATTTTGAGACGAGTTCTGATTGTTTATTGATTAGTTTGTTTTAGCCTGGGAAGGTAATTATAGCTGTTTTTTCGTCTAATATTTGGATTGAATGTCGTAGTCCACTCTAAGGGCTATTTTGGCGGGAGTGTTTTGTCAATTTGCTTAATATTTACTTTATTTATTTATTTGAACTGATTACTTTTAGCTGTTTTTGCTTATTTATTTTTATTTTTATTTATGCTTTTCGGTCTATTCTAACGGTTATTTTGGCGGGAGTAGTTTGCTAATTTATTTATTATTAGCTTGGATTAATTTATTTTACTTGAATTTTTCTTATTTATTTTTATTTTATTTATTTTTTATTCTTTTAATTTTCGAATTTTAAGTAACGTAGTAAAAAAAATTTCGTGTCTATATTTTAAGATGAGTTCTGATTGTTTATTTAGTAGATTGTTTTGGTCTGAGTTGATAATAATAGCTATTTTTTCCTCCTAGCAATGTTTGCAGTTTTTGGATTGATTGTTGTAGGCTGATGTTCTTTTCTTTATTTTCCATGATATTTTTGTTGTGGTTTGCGTTTTGTTTTTAATTTCCCAGATGTACTGAGAAAGCAGTGTGCTGTTCGCGTATTTACTATGTGTGAAAGATGATTTGCGTACATAGTTTCTTTGTTCCCAGGTTGCTTCAGTTAATCCTATGTATATTTTTCTTCATCATCAGGTGATTTTACCGTGGCTTGGTATGTCACATTGTTTTGCAAGCAATTTCCGTTTAAGGGACATTTTTTCTTTATTCTGCAGTTACACGTGGATTTAATTTGTTCGGGTGGTTTGTTGATATTTTTCCTATTGTGCTTTTTTTATTTTTTGTGCCATGTTCTCGGTGCAACTGTAGCTTACTTTTCCTGTGTTTTGTTGACTATTTTGTGGGGAGTGTTTGATTCGGCGAAGTGTTTGCGTAAGAGTTTGGTGAATATTTTTCCTACCTATGTTTTTTGTTGTGTGGTTAGTTGAACCATATGATGTTTCTCTTCCTGTTTGTTTTCTGTGCTCTGTGTTGCGTATGTGAGTGTTGCCAGAAATCCGCCATCTTTTAGGGCTGTTTCGTAGTTTCCTTAGTTTCGTTAAATATGGTTTGACTGGAAGAATTGTTGGTTGACTGATTTTGGTTCTGCTTGATTATTCCACTCACCACAAAATATTCAACAAAAACACAGTAAAAAATCAGCTACAGAGCACCGAGAAGGCGACTTCCTGATGTTATGGGACTGGATTGAGGTCGATCCCAGCGTGCGTCAAAACCATACCACGGGTTGAACCAAGACTTGTGAGTAAAATTGGGTTGACGGAACTCTTGTGGGCCGTCGATAGCTGTGCTAGCTCGAAGCCACAAGTCATCGTGGCCGAGGGCTTGAGCGTGCTGGCCTGGTTCAAATTGTTGATCACGCTAGATAACACGATCTCTCCCAGAATCTGTAACTAGGGTCTACTCAGTATAGTTGCAGTATAAACCGCAGGTGGGCTCTGTGGGTGTAGAGCAAACACAAATGTGCCTGAGCGAGCGTCTGCAATAGGGATTGATTTGCCACCCTACTAGACGGCTATACTCAAATACGAATAGCCAGCTATTACTATTATGTACGTATGTATGCATGCATGTATGTATGTATGCATATATACATGTACGTATGTATGTATGCATGCATGCATGTATCTATGTATGTATGCATGTATGTATGTATGTATGCAGTTGTGGTTAAGAAGCAGATGCGTTTGGCCGATGACTTCAGACTCCCAAAACAGCTGTTTTATGGCGAGCCTCTTTTTTTCTGTCAAGAGACGCCAGCCCAAGGCAACAAACGGTTTCGAGATAGTGTCAAGGGGACTTTTGACGTATTTCGGTGTTCCCGTTGATGATTGGGCGTCCCTAGCATTTGATCGTGGCCAGTGGAGGGTTGTGATGTTCAAGGGTGCTGGAATTTTGAAGCAGCATGAGCAGATCGTGACAAGCTCAAGAGAGCATGCAGAAAACGGAAACATCTGCCGGCCAATTGTGGAGATGTCTGGGTCTGTGAAGTGTGTGACCGGACCCTGCTGTCAAAGGCAGGCCTGGTTAATCACATGAAATCGCATGAAAGCAATCCAACGACACTTGTTGTCCTTCCCGCATTGAGTCCCAGGATGGAAACTTTTCCTGCTTCCAACTGCTCTAGAGTTTACCGATCACCTGGTGGTCTCAAGCGTCACATGAAAGTTCACAGTGATGCCAACGCCGTGTCTGTCGTCTCAACCAACGCCAATGATCATGAGTGCCAAATCTGCTACAAGATATGCAAGTCACTGGCAGGACTGGAAAGTCATCAACGGCTTCACTGACGGTCAATTAATGAAGGAATGGCAATCGTCTGAGAAGACGTTGCAATTAACATCTATCTATCTATCTATCTATCTATCTAAATCTGTTATTATCAATCAATCTATACATATGTGTGTGTGTGTGTGTGTGTGTGTGTGTAAATTTCATTTTTTTCTAATTTTACATCCATTATTTATTTTTCTTACCCTCATTTAACTTTCAAAACTCTCCCACATTTTCTCTTCCTTTTTCTTTTTCTTACTTTCTACACCCACTTTCTCTTTTTCTTCTTTCTTATTTTCTTTGATATAATCTGCGGCATTTCAAAGGCGACAAAATCCATGCATCATATATAAACAATAAACAAAAACTAAAACTTCTTGAAGCTATATACATAAAACAGTTGAAACCAAACTATAGAATCTCCAAAAATGTTCTTAAATGCCTATAATTGGTAACAGAAGCCAACGTCTTCCCATTCTTCTCGAATTCACTCTCGCTTGTTCATGTGTGACGTCATAAGCTGCGGTGCGATTTTCACTTCCAGCGTCTTATATGCACGAGTTTGTCGTTGCTTGGAAATCTGCCATGTAAACAGAAACAGACTATCATCACTGTTTTGTCCGTGTATTGCTTAATATATTGTAATGCAACTGTCATCTTTGATAATGGCTTATGTAAGCCGAAAGCTTAGATAAGATTAAAAAATATGTGTCAATATTATGATTTTCTTTCTTCGTTTAATGATAATGTTATTAAGCTTATCAGATGACATGAAAAGAATTTACATGAAATAAATAGACAACACTTGTCTATATTATTTAATGAAACATGTATCAATATATATATATATATAAGTATAGGATTGGTGTATACGGAATAAATTCCAATAACCAAAAAATACTATTCTTAAAAGAGTGCTCAATACAGAGTATATTATATGATATAATTTATTCGAAAATTATGGCATAAATATGTTATAATATCACTACAAAAATAGCCATTTTGTTTCAACACTGCTGATGTCTTATCAAGTGATGGTGTTAAATGTATAATAAAGGGTTTTAAAAGGTTCAAATCAATCAAACACCCCTCGCAAGGGGAAACGCTGTTACATAAGCTGCAATGACCAATCAAAATACAAGTATATGAGAATTCAAAAACTTTGACAACGAACCTTGGTTATAATTATTAATGGCTTAATGTTAGTGTTGGACTGTTATAGGGTCCTCCGCTTTTTCATATAAGTGGACTCGACCAAAGTGTTATTTGGACTGCTGCCGTTGAATACCCAGAGTTAGACAGTCAGTCAGAGAATATACGAACGGAAATAGAGATGGTGATTGAGTTGGAGGTAGAGTAATAGTGTGAGGTAACCTCTTGTAGAAGTCAGTTACAAGCACGTAGACTCTAAGGAAATCCTACTTCGAGACTGTATATATCTATCTGTATTTGCTACTAACCGCGTTCCTGGATTTACTAACAGTATTACCCTTTGTATTATTGTGTAAATACATTTTATTTCTTATATTTAATTCTTGCGTTTGTCTTCCATTGGAGACCGATTTTCATCTCGGAATCCACAACATAGACTAAAATAGAAAGCATTCTAACTAATTAATATTAAATTTTACTATAAAATTGAAAATTAAAAATTACTAATTTTAAATTTAATCTGTATTGAGTTTAAAATATAAAATTATTTAAAGAAAAAACTGAGGAAAAATACATATATTATTATTAATTTTGTTTTAATTGAAAAGCCAAAATCTCAGAATAAACGTTAATCTGGAGTATTTGAAATGTTCAGTGTTTACTAATTCTACATCCTGAATTTTATGATGGATTAAGGGCAGTTGTCATCAATGCTTTCAATCTAATACTATATCATAGTTTCTGTCTTGTATAGGCTTATGACGATTCCTATTCCTGGAAACACATTGGTATATAGAAGAGTTGTAATTATACAGTATGACAAAAGCTTTTATTCCAAGCCTGGCAAACTCTGCAAAAGAAAGCCAAGGCAAAATATTAGAAGGGGAGAATCTTTTACATCCGCCATACTTAACAGATTTAGACCTTACAAATTTCATTGTTTCAATCAGTCTCCCAAATTTCAATAAATTACATCCGGCAGCAAAAAAGAGAGGTTGGAAATTTGGGAGATCCTGAAACCACTTCTTAACTGCTGGTTTTTCAAGGACCAACTGAACCCAGCTATGCGCAAATAGTACAATTCCAAGGAAAAGACCATCAAAGTATAAAAATATATTTTTATAGTAAAAATAATAGCAGTACCATTTTTATACAAAACAAAAATCATAGCAACAATACCTATTTATAATAAAATTAGCAACAATACATTTTTAAAACATGATCAGACTGGGATAGATAGATAGATAGATAGATAGATAGATAGATAGATAGATAGATAGATCAATCTATCTATCCCAGTCTATTGATTATCTATCTAGCTAGCAAGCTACCGGGCTAGCTATCTCAGTCTGTTGATTATCTGTCTGTCTGTCTGTCTATCTATCTATCTATCTATCTATCTATCCTTTACATTTCTGCATTATCTGTAGAGGTTGATATGCCGCTAAACAAAATCCACCAACCAGTCCCCCAAATCCTTTTATCGGGAGAAAACACAGATTTCTGTAAGTGTAGAATCGAAAATTTGATTTCCGTCGTTGAAAATGAAAGTGACTAGATTTTTAGTAAGTATTTAAATGAATTTAACTTACATTATTTTATATCCTTCCTGGTAAAACGTAATTATTTTCAGAACGCACTAAGAAAACATTTCAAAAGATTTAAGATGATCTTTGTTTTATATTTCTTCTGTGAAATTTTAATACTCCCATGACACAATGAAAGCAGAGGGTAGGTGCGGAAGACAGCAGAAAATAGTCTATCAATCTGATCTTGTGTAAATGGTTTATAAAAGAAAGATTAGGAAGCATAACAAACAGACAAATCTTACTAAGAGCTTCAAAGTAGGGAAAGTCGTGGAGAGCCATGATCGTCCGGGTCTCGTAGGAACAGGGCATTCAAAGTTCCTGTAGGATCCACTAGAGCAAAACATTGCGAAAGACCGAAATGTACAGATCTAAAGAAAGGCAAAAATGTCTTTTTAAAGAAACTAAAACATAAATAAAAAGACGACCGTATGGCCGGAGTAAAACCGTTGGCCATCACGTGAAACTGTCTACGAAAGCACTTTAACGGACAGAGAGCAAAATATCACAGCTTTATAAATTGTGGGCCACGAAGACTAAACAGAAGAGTCTCAGGTGGACACACTTGCCTCGGTGAAAAGAAAAAAAAATTCGCCAATCGAAGAAAACAAAACACACAGATCCAAAAGTTGTGAACTGTGAAGTCAAGAAACAAAATGCAGAAGAAAAATAGTCCTTCTGTGGTAAACGAACAGAAAATCGCTAAAACTAAGTCATAGATCAAAGTCCCAATGGGAGGAAAGAAAAACTTCTTGTACAATTATAATATTTATTATTATTATTATTATTATTATTATTATTATTATTATTCATGTAATTCTTTGTTGGTGTAGTCTATTTTCTTTTATTTATTGGTGCATTACAGAATAATTCTCTATCATCTATCTATCAATCAATCTATCTACGCATGTAATTGCGCCTTTTGTTTATCTATCTATCTATCTATCTATCTATCTATCTATCTATCCCAGTTTGTTGCATATCTATCTATCTATCTATCTATCTATCTATCGATCGATCGATCTCAGTTTGTTACATATCTATCTATCTATCTATCTATCTATCTATCTATCTATCTATCTATCTGACTAATTATTTTTAATCATTTTGCCACAACCAAGGCGATAATGCCACACGGACGAATAGTGTTACAAGGAATAAAAGAATGCGAAAATTTTAATGAGATGAAAGGACTAAAAAACATGTTTCAGGACGACAGAATATGGCGATTGACGTTGTATTTAAATTTTTGAAGATTTTAGGTAGGAAAGAAGGAAGAAAGAGGAAGGGGATTCCACACTCGAGAAGTGTGAGAAAATAAATTATTAGAATAGAACATACGGTTGCATCCATTTAGTTTAACAGTAAAACGCTGACCGACTTACCAATCTAGTAACACATTTAAATTCATGCAGACGAGGTACCAACAAGGAAATCTCATCAAAGCCATTGCCATTAAAATATTTTTAGAAAAGAAAGACGGAAGCTACGTCACGTCGGTGAGAAAGTGATTGATGTCGTTTTTTGTTTCTTTTCATTAATTTTAATCGTATTATTAATCAACAACTTTAAAACATCGAGTGAATGCGGCGGGTGGCGCTACCCTGAGAGCATGCCATCTGTTGGACCAATTCACCGCTTCCTGTACATTCATCGAAGTTAAGCAACGTCGAGCCTGGTCAGTACCTAGTTGGGCGACCGCGTGGGAATAGCATGTGCTGGAATCTTGGATGTGCGGGTGGTGTAATTGATAATTGCTCGGGATTGTTAATCGGTGAGCCGATTTCCAATTTCAGTTGGGTCCGTTATGTTCAAATACCGTTAGGAAAGGCATGAACCCACTTCTTCTCTCCCAGAAGTGTAAGACTTTTATCACTGAATCATTATTGTCTACCCAGTCGTAGAAAATTTTAAAATATAAAAATATTTTCTGGCTTTAAATAACCCGCAAAAAGATTGATAAGCCGTTAAAAACGAATCAATCAATCCCTAATGAATTGGCGCGGACCTTCGTAGATGAGCTCATCCAATCGTTCCTTATTGAACTGATCAGGTCGCCCGGAATGCCGAGAGATTTTGAGACCAACGTTCTCCTTATTGATGCAGGGAAATCCTTCCCGTGTACCTATTTCTGGGATAGTGCTTTTTCTGTACACAGCCCAAAGATCTCGACTAGCTTTGGTCAGGTTTGAACTTTGATGTAAAACGAAGAGAAGCAAGTGTCGTTATTGTCTACTCGGCACTACATCGTCACATGTTTGAAGAGAGGTAAAATGCAACGTAAAATGCAATGTAAAATGAAGATCTTTTGAATTCAGAACATAATTACAAAATTACATAAAGGACTACGGTAAAAATATTACACTTATTATTTCAAATAATACTGGAAGAAGCGAACAATCTCTCTCTATATATATATAGAGAGAGAGAGAGAGACAGAGAGAGAGTAGGAATGGTGGAGTAATGGATAGCGGCTTGGATTGAGAAATCGGAGAGCCGAGTTCGAATTCTACGTGCTAATACCCTTGGGAAAGGTGTGAATCCTCTTCCTCTCCCTCCAGCTATGGGTAAATAGCAAGACAGACTGGGTTCTATAGCCTTGGATGGCAACTGGTTTAGGAGCAGGCCAACTCCGAATTCAAAACCTGCGGATGGTCGTTTGGGGACCTGGTGGCATGTCTTTGTATTCGGCCCTTCAAAAAGCGTGGATGGTCCTGCACGAAACCTTCACCACTATAATCAAATCTCATGTGCTGATGTCAGGCTGTCGGTTTCCTAGGAACTGATCTGCTTGACCCTCATACGTCGAATTCGGCGCGAGAGTCGAGTATATATATATATATATATATATATATATATATATATGTGTGTGTGTGTGTGTGTGTCTGTGTGTGTGTGTGTGTGTATGTATTCTCTGAGTAAACCCAAATATATATATTATATATATATAAACGGACTATCATATTAATGAACAGAATTACTCAGAAAGATATGAATAAAATGAATATATATATATATATAATTATTTCAAATAACACTCGAAGAAAGGAAGACAAAATATATATATATATATATATATATATATATATATATATATATAAATATATAGGGTGTCCATAAGGTTCGTGTGCACTTTAAAAACTTTATTACTTTATTTGTATTTGCGATAGAAATAATCTGTAAAAAGGATTAGAAAGAAGTAAATCTATAAATTTTTAAGGTTTTATAGAAATTTTATTTAAGTTTCCACATGTCCTCCATCATTAGCAATACAAAGGGTAATACGATTTTGCAGTTCACGGAAAACATTTGCCAACTGATTTACAGTAATGCCTGAAATCACATTAGTTATTTAGCTGTACTTAAAACTAGGTACATTAAACTTTATAACATTTTTTACAGATTATTTCTATCGCAAATACAAATAAAGTTATAATTTTTTTAAAGTGCACACGAACTTGATTGACAACCTATATATATATATATATATATATATATATATATATATATATATATATATATATGTATGTATATTTAGTATATTTAGAGAGAAATCCTTTTTTTCATGCACATTTCATTAAAAACGACATACAAAGTGCTTTTATTTAGTTTTTTATACAATTTCTCATGTGATCTAATATATTTTTTTTCTTTTCAGATGATAAATTATATAAAAACTGTCCGAATGTTCTTTTTATCCGAGCGCTTTCGGCTATACATTTAGACATTTTCAAGGATTAAATATTTTAACTGTTAAAATTAGAAATAGTTTGTTGTATGTATGTTTTATAAAATGTTTTCATTTTTTGTTTCAAAACACGGTCAAGATATTATGTCCATGTTGAAAGTTAATATTATTAAATGTTGCTTTTTTTTTGTTTTTATTAATAAAGCTTCCATTATTTTTAGCCTTTTTTTTGCATGTAGATGATGCTATTATATTAGTGTTGTCAACAAGTATGTTCAAATAGTGTCCGGTCGGTCACCATGAATATTTAAATGAGATCTAATTGAGCTATGATCAGAAAGGTGTAGAGTTAGTCTGTGTGTTAAACATGTTGTAGTGTGGCCTATATAATTATTTATGAAAGTTGATTGTTGAGAAATAAAATTCCTTAATGGGCATTTGAATTAGTTAATAATATTTGTCCTATTTAATTTTTTTCTAAGAGGTGAATTATTATTTTTAACTATAAGGTTACAGGTTTTAAATTTTTTATAATAAATAATTAATCTAATTTCTTTGCTATTGTCAACTGGTGTAATGCATTTTTTTATAATGTTCTTAATTCTGCATTCATCCTGCTTATAATTTTCGTTATAGATTGTGTTATATACATATACATACATATATATATATATATATATATATATATATATATATATATATATATATAGATAGATAGATAGATATAGATAGATAGATAGATAGATAAAATAATGGACAAAGTCCGACAATTATTTTAGGATATTTTTATGTTTATACGTTCTTTTTTCTATATAAAAATATTTTAAGTAAATGCTCTGTTTATAATAAACAGTATTAACTACATTTATCCGACAGAAACTCCAAGAATTTTTCATAGAAAATACGTGTCCTCCGACAGCAATCGAACCTGCATCCTATACGGAACCAGCATATAGCCCGACGTGCTTTGACCGATTGAGCCACAGAGGATCGTTTCGGTTAGCAAGGTCGATTTTACTGTTTTTAAACTACAATCCTCCATGGTTTTCTCTGGTACATTCATATCTGCTCGATGCGTATTCGGATATATATATATATATATATATATATATATATATATATATATATATATATATATATATTTTCTCTGAGTATATATATACATATATATATATATATATTCAGTTCATTGATATATTTCTGCCTAATTCTGTTTATGTCTATTATAGCCTGTTTATATCTATATAATATATATAATTGGGTTTACACAGAGAATATATTTTTCACGGTGAGCCTTCTAACGAAGAGCAACAACATTCCCCAAAAGAGTAAATCCTAATTCTTTCTTTATTTCTCATCACGTTGAAAAAGGATGCAGATGAGTCCAATAATTCCGACTTTAAAAATCTTTCTTTTCGCACTATAATCTCATCAAAAAATCTATTGATATTTAATAAATATTATCAATCTTATTACCAATATTTCTATAATTTTGATGTCCTTTTATTCCTCAAATTTCATTAACCGGCCTATTAACCTCCCCCACACAATATATATATATATATATATATATATATATAACGATCTGTTGATACTTATGTTAGTCTGTTTATAATTACCTCTAGTGGTCTCTCTCTCTCTATCTCTCTCTCTAACTCTCTCTCTCTCTCCCTCTCTCTCTCTGTATATATATATATATAACGATCTGTTGATTATTATCTGTGTTCGAATTTATCTGTAGTTGTTTGAAAACACACACGCACACGCACACACACACATATTCACACACATACATACACACATACACTCACACACACACACACACACACACACATATATATATATATATATATATATAAGGCTCAAACACTAATATTCTATTGTTATAATTTATTACATTGGAATCGTAATCACGATCCAATTCATCAGACCTACAAATTCAAAAAGCAATCGGGAAATATCACTCCAGGTATATATATATATATATATATATATATATATATATATATATATCTTTGTCTGTTTCTCTGTTTAATTATCTTCATATCAATCTTTTATTGGCATTTTAATTTATGAAGCTTCAACTAATTTTATGTATGACTATTTTCATTCATGAATGTATGATGCGATTCGTCCTGATAACATTTTTAGCGTCATTATAATAATTATTATTTGATTATAGATTTGTCGCTCGAAATCCTTATCACGAACACTTTCATCATCATCATCAGCAGCATCAGCATCATCATCATTAACAGCAACATAATCGGCATCATCATCATCATCATTGTCATTATCGTACACACCGTCAGTATATATTCTCATACTGCAAAAAAAAAAAAAAAATTCTGCAGCCAAATTCCATTTTTCATTTTTTTCTTCCTTAATATATTCATTGAAGGATCGAAATATTGATTTCGATCAGTTCTTACCTATTTACCTTTCATTCCATGTCTATCGATCAACTTGTGTCATCATATAGATTTCGTTATATTTTTCATTATTCGCTTTTGTTTTTTCTTTACCTGAGTGAGTGGATGCGAAGGAGGGAGGGAGAAAGATCAGGATTTATATTGCAATCATAGGTCCACACTTAAATATGTAAGACAACACAGACGTATCAAAGCACACATACGCATACACCCGCATATATGATATATATATATATATATGTGCAGTATAGGTGGAAAGATCTCAGTGATAGAATTAACATATTCAGTTGTATGGATATGAGTTTGTGACAATGGGTTTCACGCTTTTGCAACCAAACCCAGGTTCATATCCCATACAACTATATATATATATATATATATATATATATATATATATATATATATATATATATATGACGAAAATTATTTTAATATATTTTATTGTTATACGTTATTTATATAGACACAGATATTGAAGTAAATGCTTTGTTTATAATAAACAGTATTAACATTTACCGGCCGAGATATTTCAAAGAAAATATGCGTCTTCCGACTATATAGGCGGTTCCTTGCAGGATACATATTCGATTCTTGTCAGAAGATGA